AAAAAAAAAGGTCAATCTACTAACTTGTATTTTTTTTTTAATTTTAAGGGAAGAAGGAGCATGGATATGCCCAATCCTCCCTATAGAAGAACAATACCAACCTAATACATTAATTCTAGCCTTGCAGCTGCTTCTCCCAACATCATTTTGGACCTCGAAAGTATATTCTCCACTATCTTTCTTTTCTGTAGAAATAATCTTCAGTATTGAGACTGTATCAGTAACACTGATTTTATATTTTGAGCCCAGGGTCAGTTCTTGGCCATCTTTAAACCATTTGGCTGTAATCTCCTTAGTCCCTGAAAATTTAACCTGCAAAGTGGCTGGGTCTCCATGGGTGACATCTATAGACACAGCTTCCTCGGTGATTGTTGCAGGTTCTGTAGAAAACAAAGGGATAGATGTGGGTTGTGCATTACCCTGCTGAAAGGCTTACATCTGCATTTCTTCCTCAAATCCAAGGCAAACTTTCTGAACCAACCTTTTACTGAGAGTAATGCAGAACATCTTTGTATTCCTGCATCATTTTTGGCCTGACAGACATATTTCCCATCATGCTTGACTTCAACGCCACTGAGGTACAAACTGGCCACATTGTTCTCAAAGGTCATTCTTATATTATCATCTTCAGTGATTTCATCGTTGTCTTTTAGCCAAGTCACCGTAATTGGCAAGGAGCCCTTCAGCGTGGCCTGGAAGGCAGCTGTACCTCCTCGGAGGGAGCTGGTACTCTCAATCTTCTTTATGAAGGATGGGGGTTCTAACAGAAGAATTAATTCTCAATCAATATTATCCCTAAAGTAAAACTGGCTTAAAAAAAAGAATTGACTCTTCAGCAGAACCAGTCCATCACTGGAACCAACACTAACCTCTTAAAGTCACCCTGGCACTGCAGATGCTGCTGCCCACCTCATTGGTCACCCGACACTGGTATTCACCAGCATCTGCAGCTACAAACTTGAGGATCTGCAGGCTAACCAGATGATCCTGAATGAAGGTCTTAAACTTTCTACCACTTCGCAGGGTTGTGTTGTCTTTGAACCAAGTGATCTCAAAAGGAGGAGTGCCTGCCACCTCAGCCAGCAACATGACATCGTACTCCTTTAAGACTTCAATTGGTTTAAATTCCTTGGTAAAGTAAGGTGACTCTACAGTAAAAAAGGAATGATTTGCATTAAGGGAGGAGGGGTCTGTGCCATGGGCCATAACTTTGGCAACACAAGAGGCAAAGTGAACACAAACCTTTGACTATTATAATGCTACTGCAGTGGTCACTGCCAGCCTCATTCTGGGCCTCACACATATATTCACCACTGTCTTCGATGCCAACATCTGTCAGTTTTAGAACTGCAGCAGACTCCACAAAAGACATTCTGTGTTTGCTGCTCTCCTTAATTTCTCTATCATTTGCAAACCATGTTATTTTAATTGGAGGGGTACCAGTTACTTTGCAGGCTAGCTGGGTGGCATCTCCCTTCTTTAACAGCTGTGATGGCTCTAACTTTTCAACAAATGTGGCAGGTTCTGTGGAAGGAAGGAATTTATTAAGAAATGTGAGAAAGAGGAGAGAATGTATAACAAGGGTAGCACAGAGATGTCAAGAAAACAATGCAAACCTTTTACAAACAAGTTTGCACTGCATTCCACGCCTCCAGCGACATTGCTGACTTTACATGTGTATGTGCCTGAATCAGAGGTTTTTACTGCATAAAGTTCCAGGGAACTCTCTAAAGCTTCTTTGGTGATATAGCAGCTTCCACCAGAAACCAGCTCTTTGTTGCCCTTAAACCATCTGATTGTGAGAGGAGTAGATCCTTGGAAAGTGCTCTTCAGGCAGACTGCTGAGCCAGGCAGAACATCCTTTGAGCTGGGTTTAATTACAAAACTGGGTGGTTCTGAAGAAGGGGTATAAGAAAGAATTTCAAAGGGTTAAGAGGTCTGATCTAAGGGAAGACGACTTAATTTGAACATAATCTTTAATAAGGATAAAATGCAAAGTCTCCAGCCAACCTTGCACAATCAGGGCTCCACTGCTGTCTTTGCTTCCCACGGAATTTGTGGCTCGACAAGTGAAATTGCCTGCGTCGTTCATGTCTACTCTGATGATCTCCAAAGAGGCTGTGCCTTCCACAAATGCTATCCTGTATCTGTCAGAAGAAGTTATTTCTTTGCCATCCTTAAACCAGGACACCCTCATGGGAAGGGAGCCTGCAATTTTGCAGTCCAGTCTGCAGGTACCATTAACAACACTATCCACGTTGCGCAAGGGTTTGGTAAAAAATGGAGCAATGTCTCGATCTGTTTGTGGCACAAGAAGGGAGAAATGGTCAATATAGAAAAGTGCTCAGTGATTGACTTTAGGCCATTTGTTGGGTTTCAAATGCATATGCAGCATCATTTTCTAAAAATACTAACCTAATACAGTGAATGTGGTCTCACAGGAGCTGCTGCCCACTTCATTGGAAATCTCAAATGTGTATTGGCCACTATCGTGCAGCTCAGCTGAATAAAATTTGAGCTGAGCAACATTGTTTTTAAAACTTATTCGGTATTTTTTACTGGCGACCAAGGGTCTCCCATCTTTGTACCATTTGGGCTTCAGTTCTGGCGTGCCTGCCACTGTGTACTCCAGTGTGGCGGGATCTCCTGCTGTCACCTGGATCAGTTCTGCTCGCTCAATGATTTTGGCAGGTTCTACGATGGTATGAAATAGTTAGGATCCTAAATGCATATTAGGGTTTCACTTTAAATCTAAGTAGCAATTTGAGGTTTAAATGTTCCTACACAAACCTTTAACTATTAATTCCCCAACAGATGTTTGGCTTCCAGCTTCATTTTCAGCCAGGCACGTGTATTTTCCTCCAAAACTAATCTGAACATCAGGGATTATCAAGACTGCAACACCACTGGAAAAGCTCATTTTGATTTTTCCGTCTTCTCTAATGACCTCTTGTCCTTTCATCCATGTGACAGAAATGGGTTCTGACCCTCTCACAGCAGCTTGCAGGGTAACAGTTTGTCCTGCTAGTGCAATAAAATCATCTACTTTCTTTACAAAGGTTGGAGGTTCTAGTTAAGGAAAGAGAGCACATAAAACATATCATTTCCCAAACACTTTCAACACCATCTATATTTAAGAGTTTTATCAAGATTATATTTATCTTGTCCCATAGTATTTCACAGTGTTAATTAGAAGAAGAAATAAAAGTTAAGAATAATTATAATTCCATCCAAGAGACAGAGGCATAGACGATACATGTTCGTCAGCTGACAAAATGGCTTATTATGTAATTCCCTTTTGGTATCAGATAATAGATATTTACACTGGTCTCAGGAAAAAGACCAGGCGAAAGTTATTGACTTTGTTCCCAAGGTCCCAGGTCAAACCAAGACAAAACAAATTTAAAGGATAGGACAAGAGAAAAAAGTATCCGTTTTTCTTCCATGGGGTAAGAAAGCTATTTTGACAATTTGTTAAAGAGACATTAGCTTTTCAAGCACTAACCTTTGAGTAAGTGTGTTGCCCTGCAGCCACACTTGCCAACTTCATTAGCAACAACACATTCATAGTCACCAACATCTGCACTATTAAAAGAAAAGATCTCCAGACACACAAGAGACTTCTGAGAAAACAATCTGTATTTTTTACTACTTCGAATTTGTTTCTTATCTTTGAACCAGCTAATTTCAAATGGTCCAGTGCCTGAGATTTCACACTGAAGTAGAGCATTTGTTCCTCTCACTATGTCCGCAGGCTCAAGAGTTTTGATGAAAGAAGGAGGTTCTACAAAAGCATGAAAGCATGGTGTAAGTAATGAGTAATAAATAATTGAAAGGGAAATCTTTTCTCAGAAAAATACTGCATGGAAAGTCAGTAAACAAACCTTTGATAACTATTTCAGTACTGCAGCTGTCACTGCCAACGTCATTCACGGCTTCACATGAGTAACTTCCACTGTCTTCAACTTTTACATCCGTAATATCAAGTATGGCCTCAGAATTGACAAAATACATTCGGACTGTGTTACTTTCACTGAGTTCTTTGTTATTTTTAAACCAAGTAACCTGGATCACAGGTGAGCCTTTCAGCTTGCAATGGAGGCGTGCTGATTCACCTGGCAGCATTAAATAAGAGGGATCCACCTTCTTCACGAAGGATGGTGGTTCTACATGAAGTTTACAAAAAAGAAAAAGGAGAAGATATCTGAAACATAAACTCCACAAAAGAAAAGTAGACATATACAACAAAGAGACCCAACACACATAAAATTTCTGAAAAAGTTGTGGTGCATTTAATAGGTTCCTATCATTCTAAGACACTTTCCCAGTCTCTTGGTTTAAAATAAAACAACAATAAACAGACTACCTACACAAAGAACAATTTTATAAAAGAAGATAGTTAGGAATTTCCCAGACACTTGGAATTTTTTCTTAGAAGAAATTTTAAGCAAGCTTTAATAGCAGACAATTTAGAAGAACAAAAGTAAGTGAACTTTGAAGAGGATTAAAAACATAAAATCAAACAATGCCAGGACTTTCCCAAACCATAATGTTTGCTGAATGGCATCATTTTAATAACAAAGTGTACTGACTGAATTGTTTGCCAACGGTTTTTCTACCGAGGATTCCTTGCAGAGAAAGGACTGGAAATACATTCACATGTTTCTTACCTCTGACAGTGACTGTGGCTGAACAGGAGCTGCTTCCAGCCTCATTTGAAGCTATACAGACATAGGTTCCTGAATCTCTCAGTTTGGCCAGAGGAATCTCAAGTGTTGCTATTTTATCTTCAAAACAGATCTTATAATCTTTCCCTGGGGGGAGTTTTTGCCCATCTTTGTTCCACGTAACTGTGACTTTTCTGTCTTCATCTACTTGGCACTCAAGGTGGACCTTCTTATTGATAGCAGATTGCACAGGCTCTAATTCTTTAATGAAACGTGGCTTATCAATGATGACCAACTCTGCTTGGCAGATGTCTGCTCCAAATTTGTTAGAAGCCTTACAAGAATAAACTCCTCTATCTTGAATGGTAAGGTTTGAGAGTTCTAAAATGTGTTTGTTTTCTGCGTCGGAAATCTTCCGGTTCGGTGAAGGTGAGAGTGCAGCACCATCTTTCTGCCAAATGGTTTCTATCACAGGAGTCCCTGTCACTGTGCAGAGGAACTTGGCTGCCTTACCCACAAAAGTCGTAAGGGACTTAGGTCTGGAGAGAAAGGTTGGTGGATATGCCTCTGCAAAAGAAATTTTTCCAGCATTACATTTAGTCCCCACCAAAGCACTTGCTGTAATTATATATTCCGAGACAGAGAAAAGATGAGTTAAGTCTTTAGATAGACGTGAGCCATAATTTAAAATAGAGTAATGCGTTAATAAGAACAAAAGATTGTCAAAGGAAAGGGATGAGAGTGTTCTTTATAAAGGAGCAAGACATCACTTTACTTTTCTCTATCAAAGAAAAGACAAGTGTTCCTTTATTAAGTAACATTGCTAAAGATTTGTCCATTTTAGTGGCTGATTGTTTAATTATTTGATAAGCTATTGAGCTGATACTTTAATTCTGCAAATTAGAAGACTATGTAAGGAAGATAAAGAAAATGTATTTGACTCTTCTGAAGAGTAGGGATATTAAGTGATAAGAAGATTGAAGTAGTTGTGTAATGTCTTTGTAACCCTCATGTCAACTGCCTGGAAATTCTTATATGGCTTAACTATGAATGCATCCTCTAGGCCAACTCAAACTTGTAAAAATATTTAATAGCAGCAACTTCCCTTTTACATTCTGCATCTTGAAGCCAGACTTTCAGAACCTCTCTTTTTAATTTTTTTAAGTCATCCTCTTTATGCTTTCCTCTTATTATCTGAAGCTTCAATATTAGTTGCATTCCTAAATTGACCTAATTTGAGTAAAGAAACTTCAAAAAGTGTCAGTATGAATAATATCATGCACTTGGTTTTATGGAGACATTTTGACCAGAGTGAAAAGCATTGGTTGGGTCCATCATGGGCCTGGGTTTTTCTTAGGATCATGTAAAAGGATTGTAGAGAAGAGGAAGCTATAGGGAACCTGATCGTTTTCATGTCCAAGAGATGTGCTGCATTTGCCCTTCCCCTTGATATTCTCATTGACAAAGAAGACCAAGAGACAGCCTTCCCTGACAGTCCAAGTATGGCTTGACTGCATCTCTACCCCTGTCCTCAAAATATAGTTCATACTCACACTTTCTCTTGGGAAGAGGGAAAGAAAAAAAGAAAGATAGAGAGGAAGGAAGGAAGAAAAGCTAGCTACTAATATTTTGATTAATGAAGGAATTCAAGTATTTGATGAGTGTTATTAACTATTTGAAAGTCAACCTATGTTTCAATTAGAAAATTGGGAATAGGATATTTATGTAGTTGTCTTATTTTCTTTTTCTTTCTTTCTTTCTTTTTTTTAGATGGAGTCCCACTATGTTGCCCAGGCTGGAGAGCAGCAGTGCGATCCTGGCTCACTGCAACCTCCACCTCCTGGTTTCAAGCAATTCTCCTGCCTCAGCCTCCTGAGTAGCTGGGACTACAGGTGCGTGACAC